GAAGGAGGGGAAGTGGGAAGAGAGGGAGGGAAAGATGGAGGGAGAAAGAGAAGAGGGAAAGATAATGAAAGAGAAAGTAAAAAGGAAAGGGAAAAATAAAAATAAGGAAAATTTTAAGAAATCCTAAAGGTTTCTTAAGAATGCTTGAGGTTTGGGAAACACTATCCTTATTTAAGGTGTGTACTGAAAACTGTACTACTTACTATACAAAAATGCTGTAGAAAGAAGAATTGGAATAATCCTCTCTCAATTCCTTACAGCTGAATATCAGAATGCATCTGGTAACTGATATAAAAAAGCCACACACACACTGCCTATACAGATAGTGTCTATAGAATAATGGTGCCTATACAACGATCCTCAAAATGAAAGGCAGATATTTTTTCATATGTGTCACAACAGATTAATTAATTTAACAACTATTCAGTGACTCCTACCATATTTTAGGCATTATTTTGGATTCTGTTTTTTGTAATGACCAAGATAGCATGTTCCTTGCCCTCAAGAATCTCACATTCTGTTTGGGAAGGCAGTCACACAACCTGAGAAGCTCAATAAAAGTCTGTATCTGATGAATTTGATGGCATCTGCAGTATAGTGTATTGATGTGAAAATGGAACACAGGAGAGAAGAAAGTGAAATTGACTGGAAATGAGTGGTCATGGAAAAAACAGAACACCGGGAGAGTGGGCTCTTTGTGTGTGTGTGTGTGAACATGCTCACTTGAACTTCACAATTCCACTGACTTCTTAGCTCATGTCCTCGATTTTGCCAGTATAAGATCAAATGATATTGAACCCTTTTACCTATAAAATAAAATAATGTAATTAGCTGGCTTCTATTAATCTAACAAGGCATTTATTCAACAAATATTTCTTGAGGGCCTATTTAGCACCAATAACACTGTGTTTGGGAAGCCTTCAGTGATGTGTCCAATGCAGGTCCACTGTGAGGCCAAATCTGAGACTGAGGGAGTAACAGAAGATGCCAGTGCCAGTTACACTACGAAGTTAAGATATCGGGAAAACACTGGCTCTTGATGGTTCCGAAAAAAAGGATAAAAGGCCATGCCCTGAGTGAAGAAAATTTAAGTAGGGAAGTATCTTGGGTTTACACACTTCTTACATATTATTTCCAACACATATTTTGTAAATTAGTTGTTATTCTTTATTAAGCATGTAGCTTATACTATTACCATTAAGCCAAGAAATACTTCTTTCCACCTACCAAGGCCTAGGGCCCCTAGGTTCTGGGGACAGAGGGAAAATCCAGGCTCTATCCAAGTCATCAAAGTTCCCATAGTCTAGTGGGAAGATGGTTATACAGAAATATAATTCCCAAAATTGTGTAATGAGGGCATTGGCAAGGGTAAGAACAAGAGGCTCTGGGAACACAGGGGAAGGACCCTAAACAACAGCCAGAAGGATGGGTAGACAGGATTAGCCTAGGCTCCTCTCAGAGGTTGTTAGTATGAAGTAGATACTATTATCCCCAATTTGCAGGTGTGGAAACTGAGGATCAGAGAGATTATGAACCTTACCTAAGGTCACACAGCAAGGCAGAGATGGGGCAAATTTCAAGCCTAGGCTTGTCCAACCCGTGTCTCATGCAGTTTGCATTACCCTAAGCTCACTCTTATGACAATGTCATCTGTTTTTATTACCAGCCACCAGCTACACTTCCTGGTGCTCTGTTTGCTAGAAAAATTTTTTTTAAGTACTAAAAACAGTTTTAGGATCAGCTATATAATTTTTGAAGTCCAGTGAAAAATGAAAATGTGGGACAACTGGTTCAAAAATCATTAAGCAATTAAGATGGCAACAACACATCATTAAAACAAGCAGGGGCCTGTGCAACTGCACAGGTCACGTGCCTATAAAACCAGCCCTGTTCAGTATAGTAGCTGATTGTGGCAACTTCCAGGGAAAGGCAGCTGAAGGATTTTCGGGTATTTCCGTGTTCCCCACAGAGGAATCCTGGGGTGAAAGCTGTGCTCAGCTGTGAGGAGTGCAGGGCTCTGAAATGGGCCTTTCAGCCCCATCTCTTTCCCAGTTCACAGCTGTTTCTGGGGATTGGACACCACTTAGACATGGAGACACATAGGGAAGCTACAGACAGGGCACACAAATTCCTAGGAAAGGCCTGTAATGTTGCTGTTACTTTCTAAACCGGCTCCTGCTTCTAGGTAGATAAGCCTTTCCTACACAATCAATTACAACCTCCACCTGTGAATATTTTCATGAGTGAAATGAGTTAATGTGGTTGGGCTAGAATTTTTCACCTTCCATATGAAGTTTAGGTTGATAGAGTAAATTTACACAATATAAAACCAACACCATTTCTCATAATAAATAGCAGATGAATATGCCCAAACCATTACCTTCACACTTGGCAAAACAGTAGTACCCTGTGCAGGGGCATATCATGCAATTTACTTCACAAAAGAAGTTAATAACCTCGCAAGAGGGCCATGACAGAGTCCACAGTGCAATGTGTCTTTCCTTCATATTATATTTTATGTAACCTCTGTTCCTCAATGTCTTCATCTACAAAATGGGCTCAATATGAACATCTACTTCCTAAGGTTGTTCTGTGAATTAAATGAGTTAGTGTATGTATAAACGTTAAAACAGTACTTAACACACACAAGCATACTATGAGTTTTACCTGTTATATCATGCATGCCAGGTATTGTATAAAGGCAACTTGCAGTCAATGTTAATCCTTGATGTATTCCATTCATTCGTTAAAATGAATATTTTAAACAAGATACAAATAATGCTGGGAGGAAAACTGCTGTTCTCAGAAGCATTCATGTAACTGCTGCAAGTATACATTTGTTAAATTCCTAGAGTTTGTACCTCCGAGGCTCAATCCTTTTTTTTGTTTGTTTTTTTTTTTTTTTTTTTTTTTACATTTTTGCACAGTGGTCTCTGGTATTGGTGAAAATGTTGCTCAATAGCTTGTGGAAATGCCTTCATATTTTGAAGTACTAAGTACAATAAAGAATGTCCCTTCCTATTTCTGAAACAGCCAGTTTGATTTTGAAAGTATTGGTGTTTAGGAAAGACTAGTAAAATGTTAAGGGGCTGTCAGAAATATCTGGACACATGATCATAATCCTAATCAGAATAAGAACCATCTCTACTGGGCACCTATGATGTGCAAGACACTGTTGGAAGCACTTAATATGCACCATCCATTTTAATCCTTACAATAATCTTGGAGGCGTGCACTCTTACTGTGCCCAATTGACAAATGCAGAAGCTTTGGATCCCAGGTTAACTAACTTGCACTGGGTCACACAGTGATTCAATAGGAACACCAGAATTCAAACCCAGTAATTCTGACTCTGAAGCCAAACTCTATTAGGTATGAGATTTTGAAAATCACAAAATTGCTCAGAGCCTCAATTTCCACATCTGTGAAATGGGAATAAATGTAGGCCCGCCAATACTGGGAGGTTGTGACTTGCTGCATTGAAACTGTCTGCTTTTTGTCCTAGTCTTTGGATATCTAGAATTACTCGAGAAAAAGAAATACAACAAAGTCAGAGCTTTTAAAATATGTGTTCTTTCCTTAGGAAGGACCCTGAGAATAGGGCCTTGCGGGCCCTAGAAACAGCCTTGAAGAATGAGGGTACCTGAAACACTTCCTATAAAAGTGGCAGGATGTTGGGACCTGGTGGGCGCATAGGTCCCACTTGTCCCTGTGGACTCTTAGCTTTGTGGTGTGAATAAAGTATGGGCAGGGCCTGAACAGGACCCTCCAAATTGTGACTAGGGCCCTTTTTGGTCAGGTCTATGCCTGTACTGTTCACATAACAGAATAGCAAAGGAGAGGAGAAATATGAGAAAGGAGGGAAAGGGAGTTTCTTTTGCTGGTTTGCTTTATATTTTTTCACCCTGTTCTTTTAATGTGGTCTCTCCTATTATGTTTCTACAGCTTAAATTTTTTGAAAAACAGCTGAGTTTAATTTACAAAAATAGTTATGTGGTCAATGTGGAACTTGTCGACTATAGAAGACCATATCACCGGTTATTTAAAAAAACAGATATACACCTTGTTACAGCATGGCATATGCCCATGTAGTTCTCTCCAAATGTCTACACACACACACACACACAAACACACACACACCCTCACGTATCTGCTCAAACTCAGTTACAATTATTTTTGTTACAGTATCGATTAACACGCATTTTCACTGAATGGCTTACCATTTTCCCATGAATTATTAGCCCTGAATCACCCTCCCACATTCTTCCCACCCCCAAAGACCTCAGGAGCCCGTTCCCCACACATAAACATTTTTTTATCCTTTAGAATCTGAGATGTTCCCCTCTCAAGCTTCTGACTCCTGCTGTTCTCCATTTCCTGATTCTGGATCTTCCTCCCAGCTTCCCTACTCCCATCTAGGTTATCGTCCCCCTCCCTCTCACCCCAAACTTCATCATGCCCTCTCCTTTCCTGACCCTGGATGTCTCCATCACCCCTCCTTTTCTCCAGCCACCTGGGTTAAACCCTGCCCCCTTTTCTTGCCCAAGTTGCAAATCACCTCTGCTACGAGGGTATATAAAACCTAAGTGGGAACTTCCTGCACAGAACTCCATTGCGGCCAGTGGGAATAAATTATTGCTAGGACAGTATTTTATTTCTTCTCTCGTCCAAAGAGGTAGTATGTTAATTTTCTTTAACCCTCCAAATATGATATAGGATTAACGATTTTTCGAACCGCAATAAAAAAACACACACCTCTACATTTTAAAAACAAAACAACCAACTTATTTTACTAATTAAAACATTTCATAACAGAAAAGCAACTTGGAAAACAGAAATCTCAGCTCAAGGGCTAAGGCAAACTTTTGAGGAAGAGGGTGGCCCAGAATCAAGGGCCAAAAGCAGGTAAGTGCTAGGTGGTGGAATCATGGGGAGGAGAGGCTTCAAAACTACTCAGAATGTTGGTTAATGGCTGGAACTTTGGGAGACCTCGCAGGTAACTACAGGGCAAGCAGCCCATTCACAAAGTGGGTAGATGTTGACTCCTTCTGTGGGTCTTACAGGATGCTCATAGAGGGTCACGGCTCAGGCGGTGTTGCAGGGTGAGCTGTGCTCTCTATTTCTGCCTGCTCTTCTGGAGGGACAGGGCTCAGAGCATAAAACTCAGGCATCAAGGCACGCCTAAGGCTATCAGGGCTAGGAGTGGAGATAGATCTCAGGCCCAGAAACTCAGGGGAAGGGGAAGAGGGGCTTAGGCCAGGAGACCTACTCGGGGAGCAGGAGGAGGAGTTGGAAGCATAGGAGGAGGAGCTCTCATCCCACTGCTGAGGGATGGGAAGGAAGAACCTCCCAGGGGGTGAGGGTGAGGAGGCACGCATACGGACTGCATGCCAAACAGGCGGGGAAGCACGGCTTGGGACCTCAGGATCAGGAGAGCCTGATCTGCTCTGAAAGGCAAGCCTTCGTAAGCCAGCCCCACAGGAAGGATTCTCATCAGCTGGCCCAGACAGAGAGCCGCGGCTGAGAAGGGCTGAACTTCGCTGGGTGGAACGGCTCGGGAGACCAGTGCCTGGCGTCGTGCTGGTGCTGCGATGAGCGGGATCTGACCTTGCTGTGCGGCCGCGAAGGGCAGGGCCTGGCGCAGATGTGTGGCCTCGGCGGGCAGGGCCTGGCGCAGAATCGCGGCCTCGGCGGGCAGGGCCTGGCGCAGATGCACGGTCTCGACGGGCAGAGCCTGGCGCAGATGCACGGCCTCGGCGAGCAGGGCCTGGCGCAGATTCAGATTCAGGGCTTAGGCGAGCAGCGTCTAGATGAGTGGCGCGGCGTGGAAAAGCAGGGCCTGGCTGGGTGGTGCAGCGTCGGATGACAGGGCCTGGACCAGATGCACGTCTGCGGAGAGCAGAAGCTGCCAGGGTGATGCGGCTTTGGCTAGCAGGCCTTGCCTCAGATGCGTGGCTTAGGAGTGCAGGGCCTGGGTGGGTTGCCTGACTCGACGTAGAAGCCCCGGAACGGGGATGGCTGCTGGGCCGGAACCCTGGAGAAGATGGCGGCAAAGGCCCAGGAAACAGACGCCGCCCTGGGGGCTTCTGAGCCGGAGCAGCCTGGTTGCGGCGGGGCTGCTTCCTACGACGGCTGTTCCGGGGGTTCTTGGTCTGGGCCAGGTGCTCGTCGGCGTGGCCAGTGGCCTTCTGGGGTCCCACAGCGGCCTGGCTGCCCCCCTCAGGCATCACACACCCAAAGACTTCGTGAGGACTGAGACAGTCCCGGAGGTCAGAATGCCTCTCGCTCCGCACAGCAGCTATGATTGGCAGCCCCGAGGCATCATCGGTGATGAAAATGGCGGCGGAGGTGGCGGCTGCAGCGGAAGAACCGGCTGTGCTGCTGCTCAGAGCGGCGCCGCCCGAGGGAGATGCTTGGCTGGAGACTGTGGGGACGGAAGCAGCAGGATCTTGATTCTCGGTCCCGCAGGCATCCCCGGAGGCAAGGGCGGCTTTGTTGTTAAGCCCTCCCTGCACCTTGTCCTGCTGGTGCTTCTGTTCCTTCTCCATGTCTGACTGGGTGGCCGTAACGCCAGGTTCTGCCTCAGAGAGCGAGGAGCGCAGCTGCTACTGCTGCCTGAGGAGAGCGCGAGGTGGTAGAGCAAGAAGGTGGGCGGAGCTCGGCAAGTCCTCGACTCTGATTGGCGAGCTGGACGTCAGATGACGCCTCTCTTCCCGGGAGCCGTCCAATCCGGAACCGTGCAACCCACAGCCAGGCGCCTGTCTTCAACCGGCAGTGTGTGCTCCAGCCCTCTGGGGTCAAGCCTGGCCACTGGGTCAATAGTGTGAATCTCCTCTCCTCACACGGGGCCCCTAAGACACCTGTTTATGTGTGTCCACCCCTAAGACGTGTGTGTGTTCTATGTGAACGATTTGAGTGTGTGTGTTCTACATGAAGGATTTGAGTCACCCCAAATCGTGGCTGAGGCTTAAGTGGTCATTTGAAAGAAATGCCACACTGGCCGGCAGGTTATATCTCCTAGCCAGGTGTCCCTCCTTGCACCCGGTCAGGACAATGAACCCAGGCACGATGCCTGAGGGGACCACCCTGGAACTCCTCCAGGCATCTAGATGACCCCATGTGGGGTCTGGTGGGTTTTAGGGTTGCACAGAGGCCTGAAGGCGAGAAGAGGAATGGGGCCCACACCGTCTTGGCTCTGGATGTTCAGCACTGCTGCTTCCCTCAGGTCCCACACACCAGAGGGGGATTTAGAACTTTCCAGTCAGATGCTTCTCCCTGCCTTTTCCCCCAAGGCACAGTTTGGGATTTCTTAAGGGTGACACCGTCCTTAAATATTTGTATGGGCTGCATAGTAATCCGCTGATGAACATATATTAATTTATTTAGCGTGGTCTCTAGCTCCTATTAATATAAATATGCTGTAATGTACAGACTTGAAGTTTAATATTTGGCCACTCATTTTTAGTCATTATTTATTACAAAAGGTGTCATGTTCAGTACTCAAAACAGAAAAGCAAATGTAAGGAAACTACACCTAAATCCTCACATGCCCAATGGGCAAGTGCTGGAAATTTTTACTTAGACGTTGATAGAAAGGCCATTCATACATATTTCATAGTTTTTAAACTTTTTTATTTTATGAAATGGAATAGTTTCTCCATAGATACTGCGTTGTAACCTGCTTTGGGTTCCAAAAAGCACACTTTCTATGTCAGTAAACAAATTTCTACAAGGCCACTTTAAATTACAAAATACTCCGTTTATAGAAGAAGCTTACATTTTCAAACATTCCCATATTGGCCACCATTTATGCTGTTTCCAACATTTTACATCATTGTGAGACACATCCTTCTCATTAAAAATTGTTCATATCCTTAAATGTGTCATTGTGGATAAATTCCCAGAAGAGAAATTCTCGGTACAAGTCTATGAACATTTGTAATTATTTTAATTAATTAATGTTTGAGGTGGGGTCTGGCTCTGTCGCCCAGGCTCAAGTGCAGTGGCATGATCTCAGCTCACTGCAACTTCTGCCTCCCGGGTTCAAGCGATTCTCCTGCCTCAGCCTCCTGACTAGCTGGGACTACAGGTGCATACCACCATGCCCAGCTAATTTTTTGTATTTTTAGTAGAGGCAGGGTTTCACCATGTCGGCCAGGCTGGTCTCAAACTCCTGACCTCAGGTGATCCACCCGCCTCGGCCTCCCAAAGTGCTGGGATTACAGGCGTGAGCCACTGTGCCCAGCCACATTTGTAATTGTTTGATTAAAAATATTGACAAACTAGTCTCCTGAATGTCGCTGTTATAATATTTTGAGCAGAATAAAATCGGATATTTAATGGAATTGGTGAACAATTGGGTTGAAATGCAACTCAAAAATAGAATGGAATGCTATTTGGAGTATTAAATAATATAGTATGGAAAATGGATTTGAAATGGTATGCAGAATGGGATGAAATGGAGGCTGCAATGGAAACTTGAATAAAATGGGGAGTAGAATACAGGTTTGAACAGGATGTGAAATGGAATATTGGAAATTTAATGGAATTTAATGGGAAAATGAAATGGAACAGAAAATGAAAACAAATATCTAATGTCATATGGAATAAAAGAAAAATATATGAGAAAAGGAATGAGTGCAATACAGTATGAAATAAAATATTAAAGAAAATAAAAGGAAATCAAAATTGGAAGGAATATAGAATGGAACAAAATGTGCAATGGCCTGAAATAAATGGACTATGAAATATGCAGTATAGATTTTTAAATACCAGAATAGAATGAAATTTAGAATGAAATACAGAATATGGTTTATGAAGGATGGAATAGGAATTCAATAAGAATGGAATGTGGAAAACAAAATATTGATAAAATACAGGATGGACATAAATGAAGAAGAAAAATGAACAGAATGTGTCTGCTCATCATTATTCCACAATTTAGTGTCATGAAACAACATCCATTTTAACATTTCCATGGATTTTGTAGAGCTAGAATTCAGACAGTACATAGTGGGGATGGATTGTCTGTGTTCCTTGATGTCTGGGACTTCAGCTGGAAACTTGAACGGCTGTGAGATCATGAGGGAAGAACAGCAGTAAATGATGAATCCTATATTTTTATGGATGGTGGTGCCACTTACCGAAACAGGGAAAACTTGCTCCATTGAAAAGATCAGGAAGATGGTGGGAATCAGTGATTCTGTTATGACCATGTTAACTACTATTCCCTGTATAGTTGAAATTTTGGGGTATAAACCCCACTTATAGCTATTCTCTTTGTTCTGTAGGTCAATTTTCACCAGTTTTATGGATCCACTTTTCCTCTTGGGAGTCATTTCAGTCTATTCTCTGAGAGTTTTCCTCCTTTCTTGAATCTCTGTGGGCCTTAGTCATGGTCCCTGACTTAGTAATAATTAAAATGCTCCTATCTATCCTTGCTCTCTTTAAAGGAATACATATGTCTTCTACTTACTGTTTTGCTATCCTCGAAGATCTCAAACTTTAAAGAAGCCCCTCTTTTTAACTCCATTGTTGCCTTCAATATCCTTTCCTTTCTCTTTGCCTCTGTTCCATTTAAAAGTATATATGTATCTATGTGCTCATTAAAAAAATCTGAAAGGGTGGTTTTTCATTCTTTTCATACTTCATCTTCTGAATGGTTTCAGTGAGCATATATCACTCTTGTACTAAGCAAATATAGCTACTGTATTTCTGAAAAGAATTATGTTTAATCAGGTTTTAAGCTATTGTAAGAAAACAAGCTCTCATATATACTACTGGATAAAATTATAAATTCATAGCACCTTCCAAGATGAAAATTTGATGATATGATGATACATATAAAAAGTCTTATATGAAATGCGTAATTCCTCTCCAGGCATGAATTCTAAAAAAAAATACTCTTATATCTTCACAGTGTTATATGCTCAAAGGTGATTATTATAGTATCAATTATTTTTAAAAATCTGAAACAACCTCAATTTCCAGGAGAATGCTAGATGCCTATAGAATAAACTTATATAGGATGTTACAGGATGTTTTTGAAATTTTTTTTTTTTTTTTTTTTTTTTTTTTTTTTTTTTTGAGACGGAGTCTCGCTCTCTCACCCAGGCTGGAGTGCAGTGGCGCGATCTCGGCTCACTGCAAGCTCCGCCTCCCAGGTTCACGCCATTCTCCTGCCTCAGCCTCCAAGTAGCTGGGACTACAGGCGCACACCACCACGTCCGGCTAATTTTTTGTATTTTTAGTAGAGACGGGGTTTCACCGTGTTAGCCAGGATGGTCTCGATCTCCTGACCTCGTGATCCGCCCGCCTCGGGCTCCCAAAGTGCTGGGATTGAAAAATTTTTAATATCATAGGAAAATGGCTACGATATTAAAAAAAACCATGATGTACTGTATCTACTGATCTATATTTATATCTGTTTATTTTTATATCTACCTAGTTATTAAAATTTTGTTCACCATAGTACAGTTGTTGTTCTCAGCTAGGGGCATTTTGCCCCACAGGGGAAATTTTAAAATGTCTGAAGAGTGCCATAATTGGGGAGGAGGAGTTCTACCAGCGTTTAGCATATAGGCATCGAGTTTCCTGCTCAACTCCTTCAATGCACAGGAGAGCCTCCAACAACATAGAATTACCTGGTCCAAAATGCCAGTTGTGCGAAGTCTGGCAAACCTTGCAGTACGGAATTTAGATAATTTAGAAAAGTTTAAGATAATTTGAATCACAAGCAATTTTACCAGTGATTGACAACTATTTTTAAAAGTCTGATATATGTACATATTAAATATTCTGATATTTTTGTATTTTATAATCAACAGTATATTTTTGAAATAAACTAAGCCATTTAAAAAATTCGTTATTCCTGAATAAGCCACAAATATTTTTCACATATTAAGCATACTACTCATTGCTTAATAATTTACTGTTTGTTTTTTGAGACAGTCTCGCTGTGTTGCCCAGGCTGGAGTGCAGTGGTGCGATCTCGGCTCACTGCAACCTCCGCCTCCTGGGTTCAAGTGATTCTCCTGCCTCAGCCACCCGAGTAGTTGGAATTACAGGTGTGTGTGACCATGCCCAGCTAAATTTTTGTATTTTTGGTAAAGATGGGGTTTCACCATGTTGGCCAGGCTGATCTTGAACGCCTGAGCTCAAGTGATCTGTCCGCCTCGGCCTCCCAAAGTGCTGGGATTACAGGCTTGAGCCACCATGCCTGGCCTGATTGCTAAGAATTTATAAAATTTAAGATCTGTAATTTCAGCTCATTTAGATGGAGGAATATTCCACAATTATCAATCCAACAGAGATGTTCAAACTTATAATAAAATCATTAATGTCTAAATATTTACATATGTGGTTAAAATAAAGAAAAACTGATTTATAACACAGTGTAGCTGATATATAAATAGTAGTGTGGACTAACCAGGTCGTAGTAATTTCACTACCACTCCGGTGACTGGTTTGGGAATAGGCATTTCCTAGTTGCAGTCAATAAGATATGGATGCTTGTGTTTTAGGGTTTTGGGGGAAAGGTTTCTCAGCTCTTCAAAAAATAAAAGACACAACATGTTTTTTACATTAAAAAATTAAAGAATATATATCAAATGTTAGAATAAATG